GAAGCTCTTTTTTGGATGGCTTTGAGCTCAAAACTACCACAAAGAAGATTAACATCTACTTCATGCACAATGGATTAGCAATCAAAGGTATTTCAAAGAATGTCAGAAAACAAAAAAAAAAATCGATTTTAGTAAAGAAGCCTTGGGCTGGCAAAAAAAAAAAAGCCACAAATAAGCAGCAAGGATTAGTTTTTCATCCAATAATTTGTGCAACTACAAGTATCACAGTAAAACTTTTTAAAAAAATGGAAAAGTTATTTCTATGCAAGGGAAGAATAACATTATGATGGGTTGGACCAGTTAGTTAGCTTAGAGTAAAGAGAGTGAACATATAAGATCAATAAAAAATGAAAAGTCCTTCTCTTACATTTGCACGAAGATACATCAACCCATAAATTATATCTCGAAAATACTGCCGTAATATACTTTCTCTAAGACCATCAAGCGAGCAGCAAGTTTAAAGGGCCATTTGCCTTCCACATACTCCGAAACTGAACAAGAAATATATAGAAGTGGTCAACCAAACAACCCACATAATAAACATAAACATTCAGGCAGAAATTCATAAAGGCAAAGAAAGATGAAGAGCAAGTACTTTATTTTAAGAACATTGATATGCTTTTTCTAGTTTCTTCATTTTATTTTTTTCCTTTAAAAGGAGAGGGTTGGAAATGCGGAGGGGGTGAGAATACCCATTTTTAGAAAATAACCTTATGGAACCTAACTTCAAAAGGGGAAAACAAAATTTACAAAATTACACGAGGATGGCAGAGGAAATTTCCAAATTATGTACTTTCAGCATCACAACATCACAAAAGGGGAAGAAATTAGACAACTAAACTAGTAAATAATAGGAGAAAAAAAGAACCAAAATGCTAATAAAGATGCTCTGGAAAAAGGAAGCAAGAAGAGTTTTCGAAGCAAAAAAAAAAAAATCCAGTCAGTTTTTTTATTTTGTTGTTGTCCATCAAAAAGAAAAAAAACTCGTAAATAATAGGAGGAAAAAAAAACTAAAAGACTAATAAAGATGCTTTGGAAGAAAGAAGCAAGAAGCAAGAAGAGTTTTTGAAGCAAAAAAAAAAAATTTCCAGCTAGTTTTCGATTTTGTTGTCATCCATCGGAAAGAAAATGAAGAGAGAAAAACATAAGCTTTCTTCGTGATGATGATGAAGAACAGGGACAAGAAGAAAGAGAAAGAAAAGGTTGGAAAGAGGAAGTCAGATGGCAAATGAAAGGAGTGAAGAAAAGGCGCTCCTGGTAGAGAACAGCTGGGGATACGGGGCAGGAGCGGTCCTCAGACGACCGCTCCTGAACGGTCTCCTCACAATAAAAAGCGTGAGGAGACAAATGAGCCAAGTCAGCAAGGCTGAAGCAGGGCACAAAAACGACGCCGTTCCAAATAAAAAAATGTTGACTTCCAAACGGGAGCAGACGGAGCAAACGGAAGAGAATTGGTTTTTGAAATTCAAGTTGAAATTTTAAATTAGCCGCAGAAAACAAAATTGAGGCAAGCGTCTTCATGTGCTTGTGAAGGTAATCTACTCTGACCAACCACTCACTGAAGGTAGAAAGCTGAAGTTCGGGTGGGATTCAACCTACTGGGTGTTTCTAGGTGAAGTGGGTGTAGTTTACTCTGATGAAGGTAGCAATTGACAGAAAAGTGGGTGGAGAGGCAGGCGGCATGGAAGAAGCAAACAGAGATGAAGCCAAAGTTTGTCCGTAAAACTGAATAGCAGAAGCAGCTGTGGTCTCCAATTGGGTATAAGAGTGTTGTATGTATTCTGAATGCGTGCAAGAGCGGCGGTAAGGTAGAAGCAAATAGAGGAAATTCAGCATCTCAAGAAACCAGATTTTGTCCTTCAACTTAATAGCAGAAGCAGCTACGTCTCCGACTTCGGTGAAACGTGAAGTGTATTTGCAGACCAAGGTAACATGATTGAACCATGTCAGTAATTGTGGCCAATAATTTGTCACCCACATGCACATCTGTTAAAGAAAGGATGAAATTAGAGTCACTGAGGATATAATATGAAGATGATAGAAGAATAGTGAAGTTGTACTGTATTTGTATGTGTGTACCGTATCTGTGTGTGTGTGAGCATTCAGCTTTTCAGTGATGGACTATAATGGGATAGTAATTTTTGGAAGACCTAGAGTTATGTATTCAAGTAAACCGTTGACTGGAATTAGGGAAAGATGAGATAAACAAAGTCACATTTAACAAGTGAATGAATATATATCCTGTTATAAATTAGTTACATGTTATAGCCACCGTATTACAATTGATATGAATCATTGTGCATCTAGTAATTGGTCCATGCTCATGGAGCAATATTAGTTTGCCCCTCTCCTGACCATACAGTGTATATAAAATGGAGGCGTAGAGTTGAATGAGGTGAAGCATAGGAAAAGACACATATGTGAATAATAAATGGGTGAACCTTGTGTTGTAAGTCGATTACATGATGTAAGAAATATATTACAATGAGTAGAAAGTACTTGTTTGGCCCTCAAAATGTAGAAATAGTAGAAAATGTGGAGTTGGTTTATGCAGTTGTCATTAACGAATGACATAAGGTCCAGTGAGCTAAAGAATCTAGAATCAAAATATAATCACCAGCGTGGATGTATATACAGTTAAAATAGACTTACATCGTGTGACCAATACATTACAGTCCGTATAAGTTAGTGTACATGGAGTTGTATTTGTACATAGATAATGGCGTTGTCTTAGAGTAAAAGTAAGGTGATGTGAATCATTAATCATATTGATAAGCGTAATAATAGGATTTGGTATACGAGTAATGTGTGATTCATAACACATTATAAATGGTAATATACATTTATATTGTCGTTTGTGTACATACTATTCATGAAATGTTACAAATTAGGGTGTTTGATACATAATTGGCAGGAGCAGAAGTAATGGATTGCAGCAAATTGGCAGAAAATGAGACCCCTGAGTTAGGAATGGAGTTCAACAGTGAAGAGGATGCGTACAAGTTTTACAACAAGTATGCCTTTAAAATGGGTTTTAGTGTACGTAAAGACTATCTGAATAAAGACAAAGACGGCATGACCACGTCTAAGAGATATAGTTGCTGCAAGGAAGGTGTGAAACACAAGTACGAAGGTGATGTGATGCCAAAGAGGACACGAGCGCCGACGAAAACAGGGTGTGGAGCTAAGATGGTTATCGTGTTGTTTAGAGGGACAATGAAGTACCGTGTGCATGACCTTGTCTTAGAGCATAATCATGAGTTGCACATTGCTCAATGTGCTCACATGATGCTATCACAAAGAAAAGTGAGTGTGGCTCAAGGATTCCAAGCTGAAATAAGCAAGGATGCTGGGCTTTCATTGAAACAGAGCCATGAGCTTATGGGAAAGGAAGCAGGTGGGATGGGTAATGTGGGATATACTCGGGATGATCTTAAACGATATCTTCGAACGAGACGGGAAAGGAGCTTGAAATATGGAGAAGCAGGTAGCATGCTGAATTATTTTCAAGAGCAAACACTCGAGAATCCATCCTTTTTTCATGCCGTACAGCTGGACTGTGAAGAACAAATAACAAATATCTTTTGGGCTGATGCAGGAATGTTAATTGACTACAACTTTTTTGGAAACGTAGTCACATTCGACACAACCTACAAAACAAATAAAGAATACCGGCCACTTGGAGTATTTGTGGGTTTTAACCAGCATAGGCAAATTGTGATATTTGGTGCTGCCCTTATGTATGATGAGACGATAGATTCTTTCAAATGGGTGTTTGGTACATTTCTAGAAGCAATGTGCGGAAAACATCCAAGTACCATACTAACCGACCAAGATCACGCCATGGCAACCGCTCTTTCAATTGTCACGCCTGAAACATTTCACGGTCTATGTACGTTTCACATAAGGCGTAATTTTATGAAACATCTTGGCAATCACTACAAGGAAAATAGTGATCTTCCATACATGTTTAGTGCCTGCATGTATAAGTTTGAAGAAGTGGAACAATTCAATAGGGTGTGGGAGGCGATGGTGAAGAAACACAATCTTGAAAATAATGAATGGCTCTCCGGGTTGTATAGAATTCGTGATAAATGGGCAAGGTGCATGATGAAAGAAAGATGGACCGCGGGAATGCGAAGCACCCAATTTAGCGAAAGCCTAAATGCAGTAATTAAAAATCATTTGAAACTGGATCATGACCTTGTGCAGTTCTTTAGACATTTCAATCGGGTGGTTGATGAAAAGAGACATAATGAACTAATCGCAGAATATGAAATGAGGCAAAAGTTCCACATGGTAGGGTTAAGGCAAACACATATGCTTGTGCATGCATCAAAGACGTATTCACCAACCGTATTTGTTGCATTCCAAAATGAATATGGCGAGTCAACAGCTATGGTTATATTGAGACAACAAGATGCAGCGATGTTTGTGGAGTTTGCGGTCATGAGGTATGATGGTGGACCTGAAAGAACAGTAGTATTCAATCAGAATGATCTAAGTGTATGTTGCAGTTGCAAAAAATACGAGAATGAAAGCATTTTATGTGGGCACGCGTTGAAAGTGTTTGATACCGTGGGCATAAAAATAATTCCTCCTGAATACATTAAGAGGCGATAGACAAAAAGAGCTCGGGCTGGAGACTATTTTGATCGACGAGGACAGGAAGTTGTGGCTGATCCTAAAGTAATGATTTCAACTCGTTATCGGGAGCTCGCTCCAACCATGATTAAGGTCGCAACTCGAACAGCAATGTCAGATGACACCAGCAAAGTAGCAATCACTGTCAAATCCGATTTGTCAAAGAGAGTTGAGTTCCTCCTCTCAGAAAGCGAAGAGCAACCTTTGCAAAATCAAAAAAATCTGAATATAGAGGAACAAGATAAAATTGAAATTGTAAATGAAATGGGGGAGACAGTAGTCTTAAGAGGCATTAAAAAACAAGGCGGTGGGAAGAAAAGTAGAGTGATGCGAAGTTGGGTCGATAAATTTGACAAAGTAAAAAGAAAATCTAGATTATCAAGGACTACACAGACTACGGTATGGATCAAATTTTGGTACTTTGGGAACATTTATGCTAAAACTAAGTTATTGTTATACTATTAACTAAAGTTTAGGTAACATTCATTATGAAATAATATTATTGCCGTGTCAATACTGTAGGTCTCAGAATCGGAGCCGACATCGGTTTCATTTGAGGAATACATGTTTATGGGATGCCGTTCATCTACTGACTCTGTTTCGGTTAGTATAAAATGGACATGACTCTTGCTTTTATTTGGATGTTTCTAACAGCATAAATAGTTACATTATGTGATAATGTTGTTACGGCCGTCATCCCTCCTGATATACGTATTTTGTTTGTCTTATACAATGATTTGACCCATACGAAACTTGTAGACGCATTCAATGAGTCAGACCGTGAATGGCCCTCCAAATGCTATTGCTCCTGATATCGATGAAAGTCAAACGGTGTGCATACATTTAGTAGTTAAAATAAAACCTTCTTGTTCATGTAGTAGAGCTACCTTTTTTTCTTTAATTGTAATGGTGGGCACCCGAAGGCTATCAAATCATGCAAATTATGTAGTTAACGTATGCTCGCTTTAATAACGTATTATTTTTTATTATTCCAAAGTCCACCATTTGGCTAATCAGGGGCCTCCTGCAAGTGTCCCTACCGAATGGATGCATCCCAAATTTTCTATTTTTTCCAAGCATAACTCCGTCAGAGATGTCTTAATGGTCTGATATATCATTTTTGTTATAATGTCTAGTCCAATTTAACTTTATAAGTGAGCAATATAGGCACTGCTAATGATTTGTTGACAGTCGATTACTTATACTATATAATGTAGGAGGAGCGTGGGGCAATTTCAACACACTGTGATGTTGATGCATATCATGTATTTGCACCATCACCTCAGGTGACAAAATTTTATCGTTACAGTACATATTTATGTAATGTTATTAATTGGAGACTTGGACATCGTATATCATTAATCGTATGTTTTATTAATAATATTTGCTGATTTGCCATCGTTACGCATTTCAGGGAAGAAATAACACACAGGGATTGCAACTACGCGTTGATGTCGCCTCCCCCGAGAATGAGGTTGATGAATGATGTGTAACTATACATTTTGAACGAGACATTAAGTGGTTGTCCCAACCTGAGAATGCTGCATATGTACGTTACAAGCAATTAATAAGCTGTTACGACTTATTGACGAGGTTATACAGGCACCATTGATGTTTCACTCTTTTCAAATTTAGACAAGTGAATTACAATTGTAATCGCATCTAGTGTTAGTAGTCATCAATAGTTTGTATTGGGTTGTATAAAATTATTAGAAAATTATAAAGTTGGTAGAAAATTGAAGTAACAATTTTACAATAGAATTGAACGTATTTTTTGTGATCGGATATTTTTCACTAAATCGACCATAACAGTTGAATGGTTGTCGTGATATGTATACCATTCTACTACATTCAATTGCATACCTTAATAACATATTTATTGGCATAGATCGCACCGCCAAAGGTATGATGTATAAGATAACACAATCTAAAGTATAAATTGTCTTGATTTTGTTATGATGATAAATTCGAATTATTATTGGGCTATTTTTATAAAAATATTATCATTTAGGCCATTTGTTTTGCATCACTTGACGAATTTAGTGCACCATTGACATGATATATCACAGGCATATCAATTGGTATTACAAGTTTTTAGGTTAATTAAATTATGGTCAAGTCAGGTCACGACCACATGTTGGTAATAGGTGCGCATAAGAAAATGATTCCTTGGAGAACTAATTTGTAACGTTAAAATGAAGTTTTACAATGCAACAAAAAGGAAGAACGAACAGTACACAATGGGTTACAACCAGTTAGAGATATGTTACTGTTACGTTACCACTAGTTACGACTGTTTAACAGGCATGATTAATATCCAAATATGGTAAGCAATTTGTTTGAGTAGAGATTATAATGAGTATACTTTTATCGCTATCCTGACAAACATTGGACTACATCCCTTGTTATCAGTTGTATCCCATACAACACATGGGAACGCCATCATGCATTAGACAATGGGGTATGTACCTTTGAAAGTCATCGTCGCTTGATTCAATAAAGTCAGATAGGTCCGGATCGGATATAAGCATGGGATCTGTTAAAATATGCTGAACATCAAATTGTTTTCCAATACCATGTCTTTTTGCGGCTTGGATTTCATGAAACCTGTGAAACCTACGCTCCATCTGCATAACTTCTCGCTGTAGTCTATGTAATACGCTTGCATCATTGGCTTGTGGTCCTATAACAAGATCCGCCGACCTTGTTCTCGAGACGCGGAGGTCATGCCAGCGACAAAGTACCTCTAATTCCATTCTTCGCTCACGAACAGGCTCCCATATGGGTTCATGGTCCATAACGGAATAGCCAGACGGTAGATGATTATTGACGGTATTTTTAAAAATGTGACCAGCTAGTCCCAGAGAGTTGTTGGTGTTAAGCGGAGCGTTCTTGAACTCGCGTTTGGTACCATATAAAATTCTCCCGTCTGGTGTTTCGTACTTGCTGATGGCATTTGTTGGACCCAACGATACTTTTCGTCTTTTTTGCCGAACATTTGATGGTGAGCTTGTATGAGATCCTTCGTTTGTGGATTGCATGACTATGCTGATATCTACTGCTTTTTTGGTTGGATGAAAGAAAGGATCTACTGATAAAGAAAAAGGTGGGAGAAAAAAAGAGGTAGAAATTTTTAACGGAGCACCTGTTTCGGACCATGCATAGTAAATGGTTTCTTCTAGCAACTTGACCAACTGCTTGCTGTGTCATTTCATGCTGTTCTCCACAGGATAGTACTCCTGGGTGAGTAGATGAAGGTATGGCAACCATCTATTAACGAGAGAATAGACTCAACGTTTGGTCAAATGTATAGTATGTGGATGAAATAATGGTTCAATTCGATTAGATCATGACCTGTACTCCAACAACAATTGGGTCGTGAATACCCAGTTATACGTCAGTCACCTTACTTTTCAAGTGTAACAAGGAGTTACAACCAGCATATGTACGTTACAAGAAATTAATAAGCTGTTACCGCTTATTGATGTGCTTGTACAGGCACCTTGTCATTTGCTTGTATGTTAAAACTTAGAAAATTTGTTTATAATTGTATTAATGATAAGTATTACAGATAGTATTACAGGCACTTCAATAGGTAGTACTCCTTCAGTACAGAAATGAACTTACAATTGGCGGCTCGACTTGGTTCCAGGTGACCACATAATAAGTAACAGTTTCGCAGAAGAACATGATACTTCGTTGGGACAAGTAATTTGAAAGTAGGGTAACTAATATTTGAAATGCAACAAATTTTGATTACGCCATGTACCATTTTGAGTTACAACTAGTTATATATATGTTACAATTCATTACAACTAATGAATTTGCAATCGGCAGTTTTTCGTCTTATCTAGTTAAAACTAGTGATATTACAACTAGAAATTTCCTGATATTACAACTAGTGATACTACAACTAGTTAATATCTGATGAACCTTTCCTCTTCTCTTGTTTGTGCAATTGCACTTGGCACAAACAACAAGTCCTCCCCCCAACACATAAAATTTCATTAGACATTTTAGTAAGTGTCTAATGAGAACATAAAGATGGTCGATTCGAACCCCAAAATAATTGATGTAGCGAGACCTTCTCGAACATCTCATTAAATTAGCAAGATCTTCTCGAACATCATACAACCTACTAGCTGCTATTTGGCACCCAAGAACTTGATTTCTGTGTGAACCCTCTATTGATGACACTGCAATTGAAGTTAGAGGCGGGTTGAAGAATACTAATAATAAATTTCAGGCACGGGTTCATTGCCACCCTTCAGTAGAATGATATGGGAAGTGTGAAGTAATTTAAAATGAAAAATGTTTGTGCAGTAATGAAAGGTGGACGGAAAAATTTTTGTTGTTGAAGGATATACTACTGCACCCGCGCCCTTTTATAGTCCGCCGGACCCGAACAATGTGCTAAAATATCACTGGACAATGCATTCCAGAGCAAACAATTTTGTCATGGCAGTGGAAGCTGTAGAGTTCGATGCATGCCATTGAACTGTGTCACATCTGTTCAGACAATAAAACAAATTATGCAGCTTTTATCATGAAATGACCTGTACACCAATATTAAGGGTCACGTGGATAAAGAGTTACACATCAGTGGCCTGTACGTTTCACTATGTACGGATTGCATTACAACCAGTTAGGTGTATGGTACAATTCATTATAACTAATGAATTTGCAATTAGCAACTTTTCGTTTGCTCTATTTAAAACTGAATAATATTCCAACTAGATATTCCCCGATGTTACAACTAGTGATAATACAACTAGTTAATATTCGATGAAACTTTCCTCTTCTTTTGTTTGTGCTATTGCCTTTGGCAGAAACGATAATTCCTCCCACTGACACATTAAATTTCTTAGACACTTTATTAAGTGTCTATTGAGAATAGTTACAATGATTATTTCGAACCCCAAAACATTGGGTAGCGAGGCCTTCTCGAATATCTCATTAAAATAGTGAGATCGACATTTTTGCATATGAGGCCAACTAGTATATGACGGGAGAAGAGACTGTAGACTCACATGCAGTGCTTGAACCATGTCGGATAAGTTTCGTTACATACAAAGCATCAGATTTGTAGTACCGACAGTGAATATACGTGTTACGTGCTGTTTCTAATCGTTTACAGGACAACAATGTCGTCCCAAATGTGGAAGCATCATGATGGGTCGCATGCTGCTAGTGAACTATTTCAAATCAATTCAGACAATAAAATAAATTTTGCAGCTGTCTTCTTGTTCTGGTCCTGTACACCAACTTTGAGAGGGGTGGAAGACTACTAATAATAAATTTTGTATTCGGGAATGAGAAGTGTGAAATGGAATATAATGGAAAGTATAAACGATAATGAAAGGGGGACGAACAAACTTTTGTTGTTGTGGGATATAAAACTACAACCGCGCCCTTTAATAGTCCGCATGACCCTCCCAATGTCCTAAAATATCAGGGGCCAACGTATTTCAGACCAACAATTTCGTCACGACAGTGGAAGCTGTAGAGTCACATGCAGCTGGTGAACTATGTCATGATTCATTTTGGACAATAAAATAAATTTGACAGCTTTTATCATGGAATGACATGTACACGAACATTAAGGGTCACGTGCATACAGGGTTACACATCAGTGACCTTACGTTTCACTATGTGCATACACAGTTACAGTCTACAGGTAAGTTACAAACCTTCGGCAACATTTTTTTGGCCCAAGTCAGATGTGTAACACTCTATGGTCTTGCTAAGTTTATGACCCAAATTTACTACCTCTGTGTACGATTCGTACCTCCTCAACCGGAATAATAGTGTATTATTTCTTTTTATGTTATATAGTAAAAAAATTGGCTTTTACGGTGTTATCGTTTTAGACACAAAGGTGCATTATCAACATTGACCCAGTGACTCGACGAGATCAACAATAATATTGTTTTTAGGTATAAAACCTTGTTTGGTTACCACTTGCACAGCTACAACACCTGCTGCGCCTAAACTATGTCAATTCAGAATATTTAGGTACAAAGCGTGAAATTTGTAGTACCGCCACTGTTGATAAGTGTTACGTCGCATGGGTAATCAATTACAGACAATAACACAAAGTTTGCAGCTTTTGTCGTGAAATAACCTGTACGCCAACATCGTGGGTCACGTGGATACAGGGTTACACATCATTGAAGTTAAATTTCACTATGTCCATACACAGTTTCATTATTTTTCATGATAACTTGCAAGGTTATGTAAGATAAATTATTGAATTAGTACACGGCATCTATGGTTTACTACAGCTTGCTCATCAACTGACAAAATGAGAAGCCAACAGTTGTTAGAAGCACCTACTTTGCGTTAATACCATACAAGGATGAAAAACTACCCGCCAAACCGTTCACAAATACGGGTCCAATTTGGATAAAGTGGAGTCAGCGAAAAATTGCTATTAGTAGCAACAGAA